CTTAAGTAAAGTGTTTTTCGAAGGAGCTAAAACTCCTGGAATCCCTAGGGTGCCTCATCTTCAGTGGATGTTGTTTAAAATAAACCATCTGCATTACAGATGTAAATTGTGTGACAGTTATGATTGTCCACATCTTCCACTCTCTGCAGGTGGTACTTATTTTTCTTTCCTTACTTCCAATTGCATCAAGAAAAGAGAATATTGCTTGTTTAAGTGAGAGGATGCACACAGGTGGGCCAGGGCCCATGGCCGTCAATTTAAGGGCACACTTTCATTTTCAATGTAATTAACTGTCTAATTGAGCATCCAAATTTAGCAGTGCATTTGCATGTGCAATTAATATGATTTAAAAGCACTCTGCATTAATGGTTTCTTTTCCATTATCTACAAATGTAATTACTGAAGGATGGTTTGAGTTTGAAAATCATTTGGGAAAACATTTTTCTGCATCCCTGGAGCCTAATGTTGTAAGAGGTAACAGTGAAATGAGAAGTCCACACCCAGAATTATAAGGCTGAAAAATGAGTTGCTCTAGATGGAAGGGCTGTAGGAGAGAACTAAATCTGCCGATTTCAATATATAGTAATATTTTTCTTGCTTACTAGAATTAATTTAAATTATAGTCACAATGATTTCACTCAGAACAGATATAAGCTCTAGTCTTACAGAGGTAGATTTCAGAGGGAAACTCACACTTTTAAACACAGTTCTAAAAGGAGATGGTATTCTTAGTAATTTCCCATTAATCACAAAATTAATACCTAGTTCAGCCTAAGATCATTTGCATACTTTTCCTGATTAAAGAAAAGATCTAAAAGAAAAGATAAAGATATGACCTTACAATCTGAGGCCAGGTGTGCTGGTCCAATCCTATAATCACAGCACCTTGGTAGTCTGAGGCCAGGTGTGCTGGTCCAATCCTGTAATCACAGCACCTTGGTAGTCTGAGGCCAGGTGTGCTGGTCCAATCCTGTAATCACAGCACCTTGGTAGTCTGAGGCCAGGTGTGCTGGTCCAATCCTGTAATCCCAGCACCTTGGTAGTCTGAGGCCAGGTGTGCTGGTCCAATCCTGTAATCACAGCACCTTGGTAGTCTGAGGCCAGGTGTGCTGGTCCAATCCTGCAATCACAGCACCTTGGTGGTCTGAGGTGGGAAGATTGTTTAAGCTCAAGAGTTTGAGAACAGCCTGAACAAAATGGCAAAATCTCATATCTAATCCCATTTATTTACAAAAAAATAAAAATTAGTAGGCTGTGGTCTCAGCTACTCAGAAGGCTGAGGAGGGAGGATTGCTTGAGCCCAAGAGGTCAAGGCTGTAGTGAGCCATGATCAAACCATTGTATTCCAGCCTTCAGTCTGGGTAACAGAGAAAGACTCCGACAAAAAAAAAAAAAAAAAAAAATATATATATATATGTGTGTGTGTGTGTGTGTGTGTGTGTGTGTGTGTGTGTAGTAACCTGTAATAATTAACAAAGATTAGACTGAAAACATAGTCATTGGAGGAAAATCGAAAATTTTGAATAAGTAGTAGACTGTGTCCTCTCAATTGCCTGAACAATTGAAAAATTGTACTATTATTTTCTGGAAAAAAAAATTAAGCTTTTGCCAACCAGAGATTTCTATAAATATAACACCCATAGTTTTGCTGTGGAAGAAGGAAGTTAACTGTCACTGACCCCAAGCTCTTCTACCCCTGTCCACCAGGAGTACAGAGGCACCGAACAATGGTAGGTTACTAGCTTGAGGTTACCTTCAAAGGCCTGCTGAGTAGAAAGTGTGACTTAGAGGCACTTCAGAAATAAAGTAAATAAAGCTTAGGAAGATGGTGTGAAAGAAAAATGATCACTTAATTATTATTTTATTAATGTAGTAATTGTTTAAAATAAATGGCTTAAAGTAAAATACATTTATTTTACAGTTGTATTTAAAATTATGTATTATTAAACTATGTGTTTCAAAATTAAACAAAAATAAATTGTTTAAAAATAAAACATGGACTGACATGGTGGCTCATGCCTGTAATCTCAGCACTTTGACCGGCTGAGGTGAGAGGATTGCCAAGTGTTTGAGACCAGCCTGGGCAACATAGAGAGACCCTGTCTCCACAAAAAAATTAAAATTTAAAAATCAGCTTGCACAGTGGCATCCCCTTTTAACCACAACCAGAGATGAAGCAACTGGGACTCAGGGCACCATGTATCCAGGCTGCATAGAGCAGGGAGGGTCCTGGACCCAACCCAGGAAACCATTTTTCCCTCCTAGGCATCCAGGCCTGAGATAGGATGGGATGCCATGAAGGTCCCTGATATGCCCTGGAGACATTTTCCCCATTGTCTTGGTAGTTAACATTCAGCAACTTGTTACTTATGCAAATTTCTGCAACTGGCTTGAATTTCTCCCCAGAAAACGGGATTTTATTTTTCATTGCGTAGTCAGGCTGCCATTTTTTCAAACTTTTCTGCTCTGCTTTCTCTTAAATGATTTTCCACTTAAAAATTTCTTCTGCCAGATATCCTAAATCATCTCTCAAGTTCAAAGTTTCACAGATCTCTAGGGCAGGGGCAAAATGCCACTAGTCTCTTCACTAAAGCATAGCAAGAATCACCTTTGTTCCAGTTCCCAACAAGTTCCTCATCTTCATCTGAGACCACCTTAGCCTGGACTTACTTCATTGTACATAAGACTATCAGCATTTTGATCAAACCCATTCAACAAATCTCTAGGAAGTTCCAAGCTTTCCCACATCTTCCTGTTTTCTGAGCCTACCAAGTCTCTAGAAAGTTCCAAACTTTCCCTCATTTTCCTGTCTCCTTTTGAGCCCTCTAAACTATTTCAGCCTCTGCCTGTTACCCAGTTCCAAAGTCACTTCCACATTTTTGGGTATCTTTACAGCAGCACCTCACTCTCAGTACCAATTTACTGTATTAGTCTGTTCTCATGCTGCCAATAAAGACATACCCAAGACTGTGTAATTTGTAAAGGAAACAGTTTTAATTGACTCACAGTTCCTCATGGCTGGAGAGGTCTCAGGAAACTTACAGAGGCAGAAGGGGAAGCAAATATGTCCTTTTTTACATGGCAGCAGCAAGGAGAAATTACCTGAGCCCTTTATAAAGCCATCAGATCTCATGAGAACTCACTCATTCTCATGAGAACAGCATGAGGGTAACTGGCCCTGTGATTAAATTACCTCCCACTATGTCCATCCCAGTACATGTGAAAATTATGGGAACTACAATTCAAGATGAGATTTCTGTAGGGACACAGCCAAACCATATCAAAAACGTAGAAAACATTTTTCTGTGGGCCTTTAACTTCTTTAACATTTAATATCTGGAAGCTCTGACACAAGAAACTGGTAGTTAAATTGGGAACATTTTAATTGTTATTATCAACATTATTATTAATAGATACATTGCCTTATATTATATATGTGTTTATTTCATCATTCCTATGTAAGAACTCCGTGACACAAGTAACAAATGTAAAATTACCCTCATGTTAGGAGCAAGGAACTATGATTCCAAAAGCTGAATGATTAGTCCCAGAAATTCAGTAACAGGAAAGAGACTACCGTCTCCATTTTAAAACTTAATCTGGCAGACTTTCATCAAATCAGTGGTAAGTACTGAAAAAATACCCTTTGTGAAAAAGTGAGATGAAAGTTTCTAGCACGCCAATAAAAGTTTTCAAATTTTGTGATTATTTTGTAAATTAAATAACAAGCCATCTCAAAAGCAAAAGTAGCATGTTAGGCAGAATCGTGCTCCTCACCCTAAAGATGCCAATATTGGAATCCCAGAACCACTAAATATATTAGGCTACATAGCACAAGGGAGTTAATGGTTGCAGATGGAATTAAGGTTGCTAATCAGATTACCTTGAAATAGGACCCAGATTACATGGGTAAGCCCAGCGTAATTCCGAGAGTCCTTAAAAGTGGAAGAGGGGAGCAGAAGAGGAGGCCATAGTAAAATGTAGCTACAGAAAAAGGGCATAGATGAATGCAATATTGCTAGCTTTGAAGATGGAGAGAGGAATTTCTGAGTGAAGAAAAGTGGTACCCCTAGAAGCAGCAAAAGGCAAGGAAATCATTCTCCCTGAAGCCACCTGAAAGAAACAACCCTGTAAAACACTTTGATTTTAACCCAATGAGATTTGTGTCAGAATTCTGATTTCCAGAAATTATAAGATAATATATATGTGTTGTTTTAAGACACTTAGCTTATAATTAATCATGGCAGCGAATAGGAAACTAATACAAGTTGTGCCTAAAATATATGTAGCTGAACAGCAAACAACTGCTTGTAGAATAAATGAAAGTTGTCTACTAAATGTTGTGACTATGCCAGGGTGATATAACCACACATGATGTTGCCTCTCAACCTATCTCACTACATTAGATCTCAGAAGCCATTCCTGATCTTTTTCTGGGCGTTTTCTCACTGACACTGAAATTGCTGGTCCAAGGAGATTCACAGGCACTTGCTTTGCAAAGACAACTGTTTCTATTTTACAGTTTACCCTAATAGGACTTGTCAGCCTCTGCCAGTTGAGATCTACTGCATATTAATATAAGCTATGTGGATGGATGACTAACTCTGTTTTGGACATCAGGCTTAGTATTTTGGATTGATTATTCACTTATTCTTGAGTGATCCCAAACATAATTTGACATAAAAGTTGCTTGAGGCTATAAGTGAGGTAAAAGAAGCCTGACTTGATTTTAGCTAGATTGATTCACACCTTGAAATTTTACTGGAGTGTGTCCAGACAACCACTGTTGGAGTAAAACTTGGACAATGATAGAATTTCATTGTTTCCAAGACATTTAGATTTCTGTACTTTAACAAATTGAAAATTAGCATTTGTTACAGAAACAATGACATTTTACAATCATTCCCAGCCAGCTGTGTGTCCACAACTTGATCACAACTGTACTTACTTGCCATCACTTCCATTAACTTACTGATACGTACATTGTACCTATTATGCAGGTAAAATCGAATTGGTCTTTGGAAAGCTGAGACATCAGGAGTGCAAGAGCAGCTTGAGCAACATGGTGGAATCCCATCTCTACTAAAAATACCGAAATTAGCCCAGCATAGAGGCATGTGCTTGTAGTCCCAGTTACTTGGGAGGCTGAGATGGGAGGATAGCTTGAGCCTGGAAGGTCAAGGCTTCATCAAGCCTGCAATGAGTCATGATCTGACTACTGCACTCCAGCCTGGGGAACAGAGTGAGACCCTACCGCAAAATGAAAACAAACAAACAACAACAAAAACAAAAACAGAGAAAAGAAAAGAAGAAAAAAAATCTAATTTGATATTGAATGGAAAGTTGGTGTGTAAGCAAAAAGGAACAGAAGCCGTCAGTAAAGCAGGGCATAAATGTGCTCTTAGCAAAGTAAGTATTTATTGTTGGAAGAGTAACTAAAATTCTTCCTCCTCCTCCTTCTCCTTATTCTTGGCAAAGCATAGGCCAAAGGTTTAAGAAAGAAAATAGTGACAAGCAAATACTGAAGCTGGATTATGTTTTGTTGTTGGGATATGTGAAAAGAATTGCCTTTTAGATTCTAAGCAATGTAACTGAAGGCAAGAGAAATAGACAAGTTCCTCACAGTGGATAAAAGAAATTCCAAGGCAAGGAGAGGCTAGTGTGACTAATTCATAAATCATGTAGGACATTCATTAAAGCATTAACTCATAATTTAATCAGCAACATTATTTCTTTCTTAATAATATAATCATTAACATCTCAAATTCAATAAACAATAACAACAAGGAGGGAAATGGAGACGTAAGATGGGTGATTTAGTTTATCTATTGCTCCTAAGGCATGATACAAAGGCAACTTAGTATAATAGAATATGTATACATCTGAAATCATTACAAATTAGGTTTTATTCCTCAACTTTATCAAAGAATAACTACAGCAATCTAACTTTTCTGAATCTCTTTATTATGATCTATAAAATGGGATAATAATATTTACTTGTAATTTTGATGTAAGTATTAAATTACCTTGTCATCTGCTTCCCTTTCCCTATAGCCAAAAGCAATTCTCATGGGTCAGTTGCGGAAGAACTTGCAAGGAATTTGGAATCAGAAGACAGAAATTCATTCTTGGCTCTGCCACTCACATGTGATCTTCTACTTGTTAGCTAAATTTCTAGTGCCTAAAGCAGCCAGATAACCCTCAATGAGCCCTTGTGTCATCCCTTTCCTCCCAGGATAAGGTTTCACCTTTGTGGCCAATAGTGCATGGCAGAAATAATGTGCTGACACTTGTAAGATTAGGTGATAAAAACAGGCTTCTGTTAGAGGCATGTATTCCTTCTCTCTTACTCACTTTAGGGGAAGTCAGCTGCCTTGTCTTGAGGATACTCAGGCAACTCTGTAGAGAAGCTTATGTGGCAAGAAACCGAAAGTTTCAGAGAACAAGGAAATGAGGACTCCAGCCATTTGCTTCTCGGAAGCAAAGACTGAATTTCCAACCAGTGCTTTACATGATGATGCAGTGATCAAAACATCATGAGTAACTGAACAAAAACCATCCAGCGATGCCATTCTGGGATTCCTGACACTCGGAAGTTGTAAAATACACATGAATAAATATTTCTTACACAGTACCTCTCTTGTACAGCCTCATCTCTAAAAATAAGAATAATGGTTTCTTCACAGAGTCTTGGAGGGTTCAAAAGAGAGCAAGTTGCAAACTATAAAGTATCAGTACAAATGCTAATTACTAAATGTATTTCACAAGTCCATTTACCACCTTCAGGTTTCCTGGGTGCTCTAAGATTTCCCTTATTTCTCCTTAATAAATCACCAAGAGTTACTGTATCAGTGGTCTGCAGGTCACTCATAAGATCAAGGATTTTTGAGAAGGACTCACAGAATTCAGATAAACTATTATACCCATGGTTACAGCTTATGAAAATGAAAAACACAGATTAAAATCGGCAAAGGTAGAGGTGCATAAGGCAGCGAGTCAGGAGAGACCAGACACATGCTTCCAGTTGTTATTTCAGTGAAGTTCAGACAGCACTCAATTCTCCTAACAATAAGGTGTGGTAAAACATACAGAGTATTGCCAACTAGGGAAGCTCACCTGAGCCTTGAGGTCCAGAGTTTTAAATGGGGGTTGGTCACTTAAGCATGGAGCATCCACAGGGATGACTTAGTTACTGTCTCTAGCTTCTCCAGAGGGGGGCATTGGGCCCCACCATATCAGTTTGACCTCTGGAGAAGCTAGAGACAGTAACTAAGTCAAGGCCCAAGGCCCCATCATAAATCATATTGTTAGCATAAACTCTCTGATGTTGACCAAGTCCCCTGTTACAAAGAGACTCTTGTCAGGCAGCATCTTCCATGAAATCTGAGGTTATCTCCTAGGAGCCAGCAAAGGCCAATCCTTTTTTTGTAATATACAGGGTTGGAACGTCCCAAGACTACCGAGTTAACCCTTTATAACCCTTTATCTAAAGAGTTAACCCTATAGATTTATAGGTTTTCATTTTGTCCTTCATCTATGAAACATTCTTACTGTGCATCAGTAAGAATCCCAAACAGAATTCAGATGTTCCAACCATATTTACTCCTATGAGGCAAATTTTAGCCATCAGACATTTTTTTCCATTATGACTGAAATAGCTTAGAAATAAGCTATGCTCACTCCTAAGGGAACCTCAGGCTGGTTCTGGTGTGCAATGGATTGTTATGCAAAGTCCATCTTACTCCAGAGATTTATTGGGAAAAGCCCAGATATGATAAATGACTCTGTGCCTCAGTGACACAGAGGATGCTGGGCTTGCTTCAGTGGCCCAGCAGATAGGAAAAAAGCATGTTCTAGTGAGATAGCTATGGCATTCTGAGGCTATGTCAGAGCTAGGCATTCTTGGTTTCTTTCTCCCCTGTAATTGTGCAGCTTTCTCTTTGTCTTTCTCCTGGTCCTCGTCAATATAATAGAACAATACATAATAAGAAGTTTATAATGCTTTCATGTGTACTATGGGCTTTCTTTGAAAACCACACATCTTGTAAATTTTGAAAATAAACATCTGCTAAGAGTATACTGGGTTCAATGTGCTGTACCAGGCTCGAGGTGGAGAAAATGTGGTGAACACTTTAAATATTATTCTTGGAAACTGGAGAAATCATTGTAGATTTTTGAGACAGTCACAGGTAAAATTAAAGTCCATCTTTTAAATGGAGTAAGGTACCAAATGCATTAGAAGTGAGAGAAGGAAAATAAGTAGAACAGTTAGATCTGTGTGATCCTCAGTGATCTTGTGCCTGGAAGAAAAGAAAGCTAGATTTTCAGTAAGAGTGGCTATTTTCACTGTGAAATCATGAGGTTAGATTTGGAGTAGCTTAGGCTGAGAAAAATCCCAAACAGAATTCAGATGTTCCAATCGTATTTACTCCTATGAGGCAAATTTTAGCCATCAGGCATTTTTATGAAACACACACTGGTAAAGGGGAGCTTCTTTTCCCACCCCAACCCTTACCCCATCTCCCAAACTATTCATCTAAAATCAATCTTTTCGTCTGATGTTTCGCGTCCACAACCTTTCAATGCTGCTGTTTTTACTGTCTAATGTTATTCTCATCTTCCTCTTTGGACTTTACATTCAAAACTTTTTTCTGCCTTCTTTTCAACCATTATTCCTTTTGTTTTTTTCACAATGTATATATCCACTGCAAACCCTATCAAATAAACTCCCTCTCAGCTCTTTCATTTCCAGGCCCTACTTCCTTGGTCTTCTGACAAATCCATATGTGGAAAGCATGGGAAATTCATCTTATATACAAATGAATACGAGTTTTGATTTATACCAAACTACAGAGGGACATCGACTTGTATCTTGAGACAAATTTGTATTTGAAGTTGTCCCCGTTGGCCCTCTCCTGCCTTTAGGTCTGTCTCTATGAAGAACTTTATTAGAGTAAGCAGACATTTATAGGAGGAGGTCCTGCATTGCCCCACATCAAACTTATTTGTAGAGGCAAATCCCTTCCAATCTTCTGGATTTCTGTTCCATAAGCACAGTCTTTATATGACACATTTTAGCAGCTAGCCACAAAAAAGTTCTTTTATCCAGTACACGAAAAGCACAAGGCTGCCTCCATAAACCAGGCTTGCATGTGAATGTGCAAAGAGATAAAAAAGAGATTGATTGGTGCAGCCCAAATTTAACCTGAATGACAATCACAAGCAACCTGAAAGCTTGCAGTTCTGTGGGGTAGATGGGTTGCCTCTCCGAGAGAGAAATTCAGTGTCTATAGTGTCACATGTGAGTGGGCCCCCTCCACCCTCTTATTTTAACAGTGTCTCCTTGTCTGGTGAAGGGTGAATGTCTTCTGGTGTTTTGGTTCAAGAAAATCTAAAACATTTGTGGCCTTTCATAGATGAACAATCACAGTATCAAGGCAGGATCTTCAGATGGCTCAAAACTAGACTTATTATTATCTTCTGTTGCAAAGATGTGGTCATTTTGTGCTTCTAGAAATACCTTGGATACTCACCTTCAAGATATCAGCTCATCTTTCCTGACTACATGCTTCATCTTAAGCTGTCCCTTTAGCTACTATTTCAGACATGAGCATGCTTTTGTTTTTAGGAAAATATGCTCCTTCTTATACCCCTAAATTTATTGGTAGAACAACTTTTAAAATTCCGAACAATTACGTGCTTGATTCAGGTTGCACCAAGGAAGCAGCGTGTTTGGATGAACACACTCTTAGCAAAGTGCAACTTCAAGAAATAAGTGACAGTTGCTATAAAAAAGAAAGTCCTGGATACTTTGGGAAAAAAAAAATATTTAATGGAAATTGTTAAGGGACTTGACTAGAGTGAGCATAAGTCCTAGTTAGCTTCAGACAGACCCTCTTGACAGTTATTGCCATGGAATGGTTATTAAACGCACCTTTTCTCTCTAAAAGATCTCCTTGGGTTAGATAAAAAATTATATGGTAAACCTAAGTTTAACTTGCAGAAGGCCCGTGGGGTCACCTTTGAGGGTCAAAAACAGCAAAGGAGAGCTTCCAGGAAGAGCCACTGTGTATCCCAGAAGTTCCCGAATGCCCCAGGAAGTGGGATGGGCAAGCCAACTCGATACTGCGGAAAGAATGAGAATCCTCACTGAAAAGATGATTACAAGGAGCAATCAGGAGAGCAGCTTTTAAGTAATTCTGAGACAGAGGTTGCAATTTTAGTGAAAAGATAAATGAGTTAGACGTTCTGCACTAACCACCTATCTTTTAGAATCATTTGGTAGTTAAATGAAGAAAAGAAATAAAAAACAAGGGAAGCACATGAATAAATTAATCTTTAAAAAAGAGAAAAGAAAATAAACAAGACTCCTAAACATATAAAAATATGCTTAATGTAAAAAGG